ATAAATAACAAATACGTTCTTGCTACGTTTTATTACATCAACAATAAAGTTCGAGATGATAAAGTTATTACAACTTACCTAGCTATCGCCTTGCATCTTTTTCGTACACTTTTCTAACCGTCGATACACATAATCGTTTATTCTTTTTGTTTCTCTCGTCTCTTCTTACGCGACCCATGGTCTTCGTTTGTAAAGCAAACTATAATTAAAACTGTTTTTCACACTACTTTTTACACTTAGTCTAACACAATGAACAACAGAAAATTATTAATTAATATAATTAAAAAGAACACAACAACTAACACAATATACGAAAAAACTAAAAATCCCGACAGCCAACTCTGTAATCGACGAACGTAATTTGGTGGCACGCGCTAGACGATAATTATAATCAAACTGCAATATCCTTTTCTAACATCAAAAACATTAGCCAGACAGTGCCGCTAAGGCGGCTCCCTCACATCGACGTTGTCAGATCCGCTGGAAAGTTCAAGCGTCTTCTGATTTGGTCATTATTTTTTTGAAAATTTTGAAGCATGGAATGTAGGACTTACATTCATTTTTATTGAATACATTATTAGTTCATCTATTAAGAATAATCATATTAAACGCCACACTGCTGCATTTTTTTAAATAAACGTATCATTTTCAAATTAACAAAAAAAAATTTTGGTTTTTCAAAAATATAAAAACATAGCGATAAAAAGCCTTTTTTTTTAAGCAAAACCCAAAATTTTATTTATTTCAGTTAATCCGTTTTCCTTCATTTTTATGCCCCGTTTACTCATTTTTATGGCTGGTACACAGGCCTCTTAATGGTAAACGCTACATTATACTTCATGCTGGAAACGATGAGGGTTTTATTCCTGATGCTAGTTTAATTTTTTCGTCCACAAAAAATACAGGTCATTACCATGGAAATATGGATGCAAATATTTTTGAAGAAAATTTGTTAAAAAAATTGGATCGACCATCCATAATAGTCTTAGATAATGCATCCTAACACTCAAGAGTAGAAGAGAGATTTCCTTCAAATCGTTGGACAAAAGAAGAAATAAAGTTATGGTTGACAGAAAAGAAAATTTATCACAGTGACATATTTTTAAAAGTCGATTTACTTCAAAGGTGTGGAGAGCACAAAATTCAAAGGAACTTTGTTACTGACCAAATGTCTCTTAAATATGGCCATGAAGTTCTTCGACTTCCTCCCTACCATTGCCACTATAATGCAATTGAGTTAGTTTGGGGTATAGCCAAAAATTGCTATGATAAACATGCATCCAAAACAAAAGATGACGCCAGCGTTCTTGGTTTATGGAAAGAATCGCTAGAACAAATAAAGGCAGAACAATGGCAAAATTGTATTAAACATACGGAAGACATAATCGTTCAGTCTTTTCAAACTGAGCGAGTTATAGATGAGATCTGGCCTCTAATTATTCGGATGGACAATTCAGATAGGGACGACTCTGCTAGTGAAATATCAGACAGTGAATAGGACAAATCTTTTGCTACAAAGAAGAAACAAAAAAGTGTTTCGGGAATTCAATTCAAACTTTGTGGTGTGTTTTAGTTAAATGATAAAGTACCTTCGGTCTAATTACTGGACTGCATACTCTCAATAGCTTTTTTATTAATTACTGGACTACACGTGTTTAAACATTTTGTTTTGCTGAAAACTCGAAAGTGATTTAGTGCCAATTTGTTTCAAGCTTATATTTAATACAGTGTCTGCGGAAAGTAAAGTCTTGGATGTATTTTATTCAACTTTGGATATACCAGCAACTTGGCAAGTATTTTCCAATTTAACTGCATGCAAAACCATTCATATAATTTTTACTCTACGCCAAATAGAGACTTATAGAGACCTTGATGAACATTTGATATCGACAAATAATTTCAATTATTCGAAATAATCCGTCTCACTTTTTTTAAGCGGCCTGTATATACATATTATATTTATTTTATTTGCCTTTGATACAGTAAAATCCAATATTATTACTGAACATAAAATACAGGAAATTAAATATTTTTTCTTTTCAAGCGATCGAAATTAAATATTAAGTAACGCCCTACTGTTTGAGGCCCACTGATCATATCTTAATTACATACCGAACTTCATAGGCTAAAAGAAGTATATCATTAAAATGTTTAAATTTACTTTATAAAAATAAATTCTACTTTGCATGATATTAATATTTTGGTAGAATGCTGAAGCTATATGCTTTGATAGAGCTTCAGCAATGTCAGGAGACTGTACTGATATACTTACAGAAAAGCTGTAAAGAGACAAATATTAAAATTTTTTATATTTATTGCTATGCTTGCTACACTTGCACTAATCATGTTGAAAAACCAAAGATTTTCAATGTTTCTGGTTGTTTTTGAAGATATTGTCAAGGTCACAAATGATAAGTTAGAAACTTATTAAACAGTAGTACTTAAAGGGATACTACATCAAATAAAATCCTTTGATTTTATTATGTGTTTGTAACTAATGCATGCAATTCTGCAAATTGTTGTCAAAGTTAGCAAATTATTTCAATCACCATAGATATTTGCTAAACTATAGCTAAGAAGTTTCAAACTTAGCACTTGTTTTGGAAGAATTAAGGATTGAACCTATTTGATAATATCTATTCTACAGTAAAAGACACTTGTGATAAGCATCAAATTGACATTCCTACTTGGAGAAAACATAATTTTTTTCTAGATTAGATAATTCTGGAAATACATTTACAATCAGTGATAAAAAAAAGAAGTGAAACTCTTTATATTTTATGTGTCTTTAGATCAAATGATTCAATTGTTAAACAATAAATTTGGCCAAGAATAAACAAAAATTACTTATTCATTAAGCAAAATCATATTGTTAAATATAAATGAGCTAGGGAATCAAGATTTAAAATACATCTCAGAACATGTTGATTTGAATTTTTCAGAATTAGAAGCTGAAGTAAGACTTCTAAAAACAATAAAAAGTAAAAATTTTCCACCTTCAAAATCTCTTTACTGACTTGATTGGATTTCTCAGCATGACAGAAAATGTTTCTAGTGTTGAACCAACTAATGGTAAAATTTGCCACAATTCCTGTAATGAGTTGTACTTGTGACAGAACTTTTTCCAAACAGAGCATATTAAAATTGATACTTCAATCGACAATGCTGCAAAACTATTTGGAATATCTAAGGGTGCCTTCTGTTGAACAAGAACTTGTTCTAAATATAGATCAAGATAGTGTAGTTGATGAATTAAAAAAAAATGTACTAAGTATTCCAGTGACAAATGGTATTGTAATGGGTTTTATTATAATAAATGTTTATTGTCAGTCTGAATTTTTTATGTATTTTCTATATATGTGACTGTGATCAGCCATATTTTTTTAACATTGTGCAATAATTTAATATAAAAATTAACACAAGGTGTTTCAAAATTTTTCTGTTCTAAAAAATATATTTTGAATTTAAAAAATTACTTTAACTATTTTTTATATATGAATACAGTAAAACCTCCCTTAACCGAAACATTGTTTAACTGCAACGGCTGACAGTTTCAATAATTTCGTCAATAAAAAGTAAATTTTTATCGCAAAACTTAACCAATTCCATTCATTTCTTTCACCGATTGATGTTGGGAGATTAAAAAAAAACAAGAGCTCTAAAAGGTATTTCCGAAAAAGCACTTCCAGTTTTTTATAGAAGCCAAAAATCTCATAGATGTCGACCACACTATTTTCAGAATTGTTCGAAAATGAATTTGTCCCAAGTGTAAAATCCTTTTTAAAAACCAAAAAGCTTCCCATCAAAGCATTGTTGCTTGTTGAAAATGTGCCAACTCACCCTCAAAATCTATGAAATGGTGACAATTGTCAGATTTTTGTCAGTGAATGTCATGAGCTTACTGAAGCAGCCGTTAGACCAGGGAGTAATAGAGGCATTACAGATGAGCATTCTTAAGACATCTGTTATTACACGAGACGAATAAATCCAAAAGTGTTTCCGAAATTCTCAAATCTTTAACAATGAAACATGTTCTTTATTATTCTGCTGAGTCGTTTGCCAAGATCTAATCTTCAACTTTGGAAAAATGCTGGAACAAACTTTTTGATGGGATTTTGATTGACGATCCTGAAGAAGAAAATGATAAAGAAACGACTGAAGAAATTAAACCTTTAATAAAAAAAATTCCTCCGGGATGTGGCGAAATTAACCAAGAAGAGATATGTGAGTAATTAGCAGCGGTTGACTCGGAAAGTGAATTCTTTGACCAGGACATCATTGATATGGTTCTTCATCGAGACAACCTGAGCGTATCAGACGACGAAGATGACGACCCAACAGACAACAGGCAGCACGAGACAGCCAACGAGATTTTCAATGCCTTAGACGTATATATTTTATACAGTATGCCTAATTAGTTAGGGTACGACTAGGTTCTTAATTTTTGTTGTAATTGCATAAAGTCTTGTGTTTTTCAGATTGGTTTACGTTTCGTTGAACTATCAAATGAAGCAAACTCATGACGTTCTGCAAATGAACGATTGAGAGATATAGCTGCAAAACATCATTGTCAAACAAAAACGCAAAAAATAGAAGATTTCTTTAAAAAGCATGTTAAACTTGTTCATTTTCCTCAATTTTATTACTTTATTCTATATTTACTTATTAGAAAACATTACGAAATTACCTAATAGTATTTTTTAATACCATTATTTTTACCAAGAATACTAAAAATTACCAAGAATAAAAAAAATTGTTATTTTTAACTAAAATTCTTGATATCCGAAATGGCCTCCCCCCAATTATTTCGGTTAACGGAGGTTTTACTTTATATCATTGTTGCAAATTAATAAAAAGTATATGGGGGGTGTGTTTTTCAGCATGCGAACCCACACTAAAAAAACTGGCAGCACTTATGACTAGGCTAATACAAGGGTATGCTGTGCCTATTTTGGCTGTGTAATTTTTGTTTATACCTATTTAAGTATGTTTATTTTTAGGGCCAGAACATATATGAAAAGAATTGTTCACTACTTGAAATCTATAAAATTAATACCTTTAACTGTAGATGTACAAGAAAACTTATGTTCTTCTATAGAAGATACTAGTATTTCTTCTAGAATACCAAAAATAATGCACAGTGAAGAACAAAAATGGACTGATATTCATTTACATACTTTGAAAACATTCTTAAGTAAGTATATACCTTACATTTTTACTACAATTTTGCTTACTATTTATCATACGGGTTGTCCAATAACATCTAAATAAATATTTTAACCGTATTAATTAGAAATTGAAGTGTTTTCATTGCATATAAGCAAATAGATTGGATATGAACTTTAAAAAAAAAAAAAACAAGGCCAGTTAGCTCAGATGGTAAAGTGTATAACCTCTAGATATTTTAGATTTTTAACATCTACATAGATATTTTTAAAATATCTGCAGGTCCCAAGTTGACTCATCCTGAATAAAATGAGTACCTATAGTAAAACCAGGTACTCGCCCTGTTACCTTCCTGGTATACTATAGGCTCAAGGAAGAGCAGACTACCCTGCTATGATGCCAAAATTACACTAGCTGCATAAAGAGAGACTATTAAGTCTTCTTCTTTGAGTGCCTCTCCTATCGGAGATTGGATATCATTGTGGCGATTCTAATTTTATTAACTGCTCTTTTGAATAATTCGTTAGTGGTACAGCCAAACCACTCTCTTAAATTTCTCATCCAGGACATTCTTCTACGGCCTGGATTTCTGCGTCCTTGGATCTTTCCTTGCATTATATTTTGTAGTTGTCCTCTCGTCAGGTGGCCTAAGTATTCAAGTTTTCTCTTTTTTATATTCATATTAACTTCTGGATCGTTATTTATTCTGCATATTACTCCTTCATTAGCAATTCTATCCACCCAACTTATTCTTAGTATACGGCGGTAGTACCACATCTCAAAGCTTTCAAGATTTTTAATATTCCTCTGTTTAAGAGTCCATGCCTCAACACCGTAAAACAAAGTACTGAATACATAGCATTTTAACATTCTAGTTCGTAGATGAATACTAATATCACGATTATACTTTGTCAAAGGCCTTTTCAAAGTCTATAAAGCAGGCATGCACCTCTTGGTTAACATCTAGACATCCATGTGTTAGGACATATAAGGCAAAGAGAGCTTCTCTTGTATCTAATCCTTTTCTGAATCCCATCTGTGTACAGTTAATATCGATATCTAACTTTTGATAGATTCGGTTGTGGATGACTCTAAGAAATATTTTAAGCAGGTGACTCATCAAGGAGATTGTTCGATGATCTGAACATTGCATTGCCTTAGTTTTCTTTGGTATGGTGACAAACGTAGACAGCAACCATTCTTGAGGTATTATACCAGTACTGTATATTGTATTGAATAGATGTAATATTATGGTTACGGATTTATCATTCAAAAGCTTCAACAGTTCTGTAGGAATTTCATCAGGTCCATTTGCTTTTTCATCTTTAGCGTTTCTTATTGCGTATTCTACTTCTTCTTTCAATATGTCTGACCCAGTTGCATTGATTATCTGAGTTAAGTTGTTTCTATCGTCTTCAAATAATTCATTCAGGTATTCTGTCCATCTTTTTGTTTTATTCTCTAGATCTACAATAAGATTTCCATCTTTGTCTTTAAGTTTACCTATTTGGCATTTCTTTATGCTTCCTGTTATCTCTTTTATTTTGTTGTGTATATTGAACGCATCGTACTTTTTCTCATAGGTTTCCATTTCTTCACACTATTCTTTAATCCACTCCTCTTTGGCCTCTTTTATTCTCTTTTTTATGTGTTTATTTATTTCTTTGTATTTGTCTGGGTAATTCTTCATCTTTCTTCTTTGTTCCATCAAGTCTAGTATATCTTGTGTCATCCACCCCTTATTCTTTGTTGTTGTTTTTGTAAGATGTTTCTTTGCTGCTGTTTGTATAGCTGTATTTATGTACTTTAATTTTTGGTTAACGTTATTTGTATCGTTAATTTGTTGCTGAACTGAACGGAGGTTTTCATTTATTTCTTCTCCTGTTTCTTGTCATATATTTTTGTTTCTAAGTTTATTTAAATCTAGTGCCTTTCTGTGTGGTCTTCTAATCTTTTTTGGTCTCGCCTCTATCAGTAACTACCGGGTTATGATCTGAGCCTATATCAGCTCCTGGGTACGTCTTAGTACATTTAACAGCATTACGATACCTCCTCGCTATCATAATGTAGTCTATTTGATTTCTCACTATTTTTTCTTTGGTATGTTGTGGAGATGTCTATGTATATAACCGTCGAGGAGGTAATTTGAAAAAGGTATTTGTTATTACGAAGTCTTCACTTTGGCAAAATTGAATTAATCGATCTCCTCTGTCATTTCTGTTTCCAAGCCCATATTTTCCTATTTGTTCTCCTACCTTACCTTGACCGACCTTGGCATTAAGATCGCCCATTATTATGTTAATGTGTTGTTTTTTGATTGTTTTCAGTATTTCTTCTAAATCGTTGTAGAATTGTTCTATTTCATTTTCATCTTTATCTGCTGTTGGTGCATAGACTTGAATAAGATTGATTATGTTATGTCTTTCTTTAATTTGTATTAATATTAAGCGCTCTGAATAAGGTGTACAGGTAATCAGAGAACTTTTCCATTGCTTTAAAATGATGATTCCAACTCTGCCGGACCTTGGTACTCTATTCCCATGATCAGTAGGGTTTCCAGTATTTTTGTTGTACACCATAATGACTTAACTAGGGTACTCTATGAGTCTTTAATGCAGTGGTTCTCCGTTGCCTTCTGCATCCTTTCGCCGTTGACCAGCCTTGGTTCATCCGCCTTCGAGACCGATTTCTCGATCTCTGGACAAAAGAGTGCCCTTCCACATATTAGCTCTTCCGCCCGAAGCCGTTGGCCAGTAAATGGTGAGATCGCTTATACCGGCAATCATTCAGTGAATTACCTGTTGGTCCACGGAAGGTATTTTATTTCCCTCCTACCCACCGCAAACTGGGTCGGGCATTCCCCTATCCGCCACTAGGGGACGCGCTCTGTAGGGGTTACAGGTTCCCCCAACAGGCAGGTTCTTGTCTTTCCTTGGTCTCAATTCCAATAAACTCTTTTTCCATTGCCCATTCATCATTCTAGCTATATGTCCTCCCCATCTCCTGGTTCTTCTTTCGATATCTTGGATCTTATCCTGACCTCTTGGTTTTTTATTTTGTCTTGCAGAGGACTATTAAGTATTAAGATCTAAAAACTGAATTGAAATCTACCTCGGGCCCCACCGTCTTTATGATTCTTTTATTTAGTGTTAACTATGGTTTTCAGAATTAACTAATGACTTTCAGTCCCATAACTGGTATTTATATAAAATGATAATCTATTGAAAATCAATCAAATTTTGGAGAACCGTTGAAAGTATTTCAGATCAGAAACTGTTTCAGGAGGACTTAAATTGTTTATCAGAGTGGTGCCAAAAAAATAAGCTATATTTGAATATCAATAAATGCAATTTTATAAGTTTCTCTCGGAAAACTACTAGGTTTTAGTCAAGTTACTTTATTGATAACCAGGTTCTAAAATACACATCTACAGTAACAGATCTGGGTGTAATTTTTGATGAGTGTTTGAATTAATTTAATTTATTTGATCTCATGAGTCATCAAGTAGGCAAAATACTACCTTTCTTTTATGGTATTCACAACCTCTTTTTCTTTATTTAGACATCAAACTTCTTGATTCGTTAGTCCGTGCATGCATGGTGTTTTTAGGCAATTAATTATATTAGACACTTTCAGTGAAAGACCATTCCATAGAATCAAATATGTACTAAAAAAATAACAGCATTATGAGCTAGATTTGTGTTGTTGCTAACGATTATCTATTCTTGTTTCAAAAGTCACAAAATAACAAAAATGGTAGGCAAGTCCTCTTATGTTTCTCTATTTTTACAACAGCTGTCATTACAGAGGATAGAACAGACATGGGCAAAGTAAGGTCAGTGAGGAGTTCAGTCCTGCCCAAGGCATATTTCCAAGTAACTCCTCCAATTACACTTATGACAAAATGTGTTTTCTGAATAGAAAGGATAGAATTTGTTTCCTTCTTTTCATATTCTAAATAGGGTCTTATCGAATCTAAGACTGTCTGAGTTTGTATGCATCCTCCTGCAGCGTAGAAGATGTATATAGTACCAAAGAATATAGACGCATATAGAAAGACAATTTAAATAGGCGATTTGGTCACGGTTATTATACATCAAAACACTACTGAAGAGGGCGACTCGGCGACTGCGATTTTGCCTCTTTAGACGGGTCCTGATGGTTTCTTTATCAACCTCTTTTTCGGGGACGCCCATGAGGCGCTTAGACATATTATTTGAATCAACTACACTGAAGTTTGCTCCCTCCCACAGGCCCTCCATAGTTTTCACCACTTCAGCCGTCCTTTTTTTTTGTGAGCACAGTTCACCACAGGGTCCCTTTGCCAAACGATGTTTTATGAAACTGCAGAAGTTCATTCTAACCTCCGATAAGAGCCTCATCAACTGCTTGTTCCAGTTTGTTATTAATCAAATCTGCTTAAGCCCGATTTAGTTGAGTATCAGGATGGCATCTGTGTGCTTCCACCATGCTTTAGTCTACTCGTTAGAGCCCTTGGTTTCTTAGTTAATTCAAAATTAATTATTTAATTAAAAAATGTGCATCCGGTAGATAACACCAATAAGCAGTTACAAAAAGGGCTATACCTTAGACACTACTAAATATATTAAAAAATTGTTTTGACAAGTTTTTAAGATAGCATTAAGACATCTACATTAAAAACTATTAAAAAAATTGTGCTGTTATGAAAACTTTCCACTAAAAGAAGAAACCAAGTGATCATATTCAGATTGCAACTTGGACATACAAAAATAACCCGTGATTTTATTTTAACGAATTAACCTCCTCCGATGTGTTATGTGTGTGATAGTGAACTAACAGTGCAACATATATTAATAGACTGTCCTCTCTATATACTAGAACGACATCAACAGTTACCTACCTGTAAAGAATATTAATGTGAAAATAATACATCTAATAACCAAATTTAATATTACCTTTTTATACCTCTTTCACATTTAAATACAGTTCAATGCTAATAATCCTTAGCGGTTGGAGCAAATTATTAATAAAAATAATATATTTTGCTTTTGATTAATACTTCTATGGTAGGTTGTCACTCCATCTTTTGCGCGGTCGTCCGATATTTCTTCTGTCACACGGGTGTCCCCCATTCTACTTATGTGGTTATTCTATTATTTTTTTTTCTATTTTGTGTCCATTCATTTATACATAGTACGTTACATTTGTACGTTACCATCTTCGAATGGCTTCACTCCTCTTTCGATCTTTCAGCGAACTTCCTCTAATTCTTCTCAGTATTCTCATTTCTGCCGTTTCCAGTAGTCTTTTTGCTGTGGCTGTGTCGGGTCTTGTTTCTGAGACATATGTCATTATTGGTTCTGGCTTTATAAATTCTTGACTTCATCTCCATGTTAATGTGTCTGTTTCGACATATAGTGTTATTAAGGCATCCAGCCAGTTTATTTGCTTTTTGTACTTAATCGCTCACTTCTTTGTCGAGTTCTCCATAGCTGGACAGTGTACAAATATTCTGATTACAAATATTCAGACCCATCTTTGATTTCCCTATCTCAAATTGCAGTCAATAATGTGCCTAAACCATTGTTACAAACCAAAAACAAGTGTTGTTCACGGTTCAAAGAAGGGTATGGGAGACCGATATTTTCATAAAATTTAGTACAATATTTGTGTTTTGTGTACAACTTCAGGCCGCTGGTTATGGCCGCAATACTTTTGATTGTGAAAAAATCAGCAATTAATTTATAGATCACAAAAATACCTGAATTAACTCATTGCCGTTGTCTGTACAAAAAACACTTACCTTTGAAATATGGTGTATTAATTGTAGCAACTGCTAGAAGAATATCATCTGCGCGACGCAAGGGACTCACTTTAAGTGTCCTTTCTTGGTATAAAATAGCCAGAAACTCTCTGTTCACCCTTCTTAGGTGGTCCGTAAATTCGTGGGGCAAGTGAATCCACATAAATTATCGCTATGGAAGCTAATCTGGAAAGCTCAACGTAGATGGCGCTAGTGTAGTTGGAGGTCACGTCAACTGTCCGAATCTATATATTTTCAAGTAAATATTGCATTTATTTCGCTGTGTAGATTTAATTTGGGATAATAAGATGCCTCAGTGTTGTGCTGTTCCTTTGTGCTCATCGAGAATATCAGAACACAGGTTTTTCAAAATAATCTGATGGAAAAAAAGTGGATTGTGGCAATAAGAAGAGATAAATATGTGCGACAGAAATGCGTTTACTCGTATCTACAATAAACTAAATATTATATATAAAGGATAATAGTTGTATGCTTTATGTTAGCAAATTTTCGGAGCAACATAATAGATAAAAATTAATAAATTTAACATAAATACTATTAATTTGTCTTTTATTTTGTTATACAGATTAAGATTATCTATTTCAGTGAGAAATAGTATTTTTCAGCCAATGCTATAACCATATACTACTCAAAAAACTCTTTGGCTTGAGGGATTATTTCATTATGAATTAAATCATTTTTTCTACCTATAGAAATACATCTCATATATTTGTTTGTCCAAGTGAAAAAATCACAGAACTCTCGACCAGAGACAAACATTTGAGTTTGCACTTGATAATAATAATTTGAATTTAATTTCAAACGTAATTCATCTTTCATTTCTAAATATGGCAAACTATCAGAACTAGTCATTGAATATTTTATTGAATAGCGGTGGTTAACATCTAACACAGTTAGTTATTCCACAAGTTCATCAGGAAAAGCAGCTAAGTAAGGATGGTTCAATGAAATAAAAAGTCCACAGCTAATGAATTGGTTAATAGTTGTCTTCTCATAGACACGGATAGCTATTTTCTCACATTTTTTACTCCAATATGTCACACTGATTACACTATCAGTAAAATTAGGCATATTTCTGTATTGTTGTGGTCTTGGATTATAACAGAAGTTTGTCTTTTGCTTTTTTGCACATTGCACAGGACCTATAAAATTTATTTGTTCGGTTTTCTTTGGCGATACTTCCAGTCTGCTATTTTTTTGGCATATGCCAAACTTGCTTTCATTTAGTGCAGGTATCTTTTATGTATCATTTACCATGATCTTTCAGGTTTAGTAAAGCATCGCAACAGCAACATGTTTTCACACTGCTCTGTATGGCTTGCCAACAATACATTAACATAATGCTTCAGTAATAATTTCATCCATGGAGAGGACCAGTTTTACATTGAATGTAAGTGCTTTGGCCATTTCATTTTTTTTGTGGTTTTTTCTGTGGACTGCGACACACTTGCTCATTCCTTCTGCTAACTTATAAATATATAGAAAATAGTTATTTATGTCGACGAAATCTATTAGAGGAATTTCTGAAGAGTAGTGAAATCCACATCAACGACTATACAATGTCATGTTGAAAATTATTGCACTCCAACCTATAATAAAATATAGAATACCTATAATCAGTTTCTGGACAGGCAAAGCAATGAACTTCTGGCAGGGACACAATATCTTTTATACATATATCAAAAGTGATGATTTATAATTCGTTTTGTTTTAAGGCAGCATTGTAATGCGCTTTTGAAAGACGATAATTTAACTAAATAGTTCGCAGAAATTTGATAGTTGGTAGCGTTTACTGTGCTTGCGAGGCCGTAATAAAGACAAGTAAATTTATTTGAACTTAAAAACAGATTACCAAGTAATAAACTGGCTAACAGTTTATTGTTAAACTGGCTAACTGGCTAGAAGAAAAATAATATATTGTAATCTTTTAAAGTAAACAAGTAGTTAGAATATTTCATTAAACAAGATCATATTATAGTACAGTAATAAAAATATTAAATGTAAAATATGTAAATAAATACTAAATACTTTCTCAAAAACTTTGCAAAACATAAAATTGTTTTATGTATTTTATTATTTTTAGTGTTGAGATTAGACATAACTAAAGAGGAAGTTGAGAATCTCTTTCGTGTTCACAAAATGATAAGAAACAAAAGTTTTAAAGTAATACAACAAAACATTAGATTAGCCGAAGAGTTAGGCATTGGACCCAAAAAAATTATAAAGTATGGATATTTGCTTAGTAACTATCCGACTTATCCAGAAACAACTCTTCGTGATTTATCAAATTTAGCCGGAATGGACATGAAAATAGAGATGAGGAGGTATCCAAAATTAATTACGTCTTCTCCAAAAAATATTATAAAAATTTATGGTATCTTAAAGGTGAGTATGTATTTTTATATTTTTCAATATAGGCTATTGTGGTTGGTATTTCGTAATATTTTAGGGGTTTAGAGGCTTCAATTTGAAATTATTTTTTCTTAACGTTTCCTATGCAACTGTGGTAAATTGATACGGTTACGATGGTAAATGTTTTCTGCTCACTGATGAGCAGTCAGTTAGCGAAAGATGGTTGCTGCATCGTCTTTGATAATTCCTGTCACTGTTGAGGTAAAGTAAGGAACAAATAATTCCAGATCCCAAAAACAAGTTACCATTACTGTATTGTGTTTATTTATATAACAATAAAACACTGAAAGCTTATGTTTTCAACACTTCTACAAAATTTATTATAATCTATTATGATTACCGCTGTTTCGGCAGAGTGCCTTTCTCAACTGATCTATTTTTAGTACGCGTTTACACTTTATTGTCTTCAACTGAATAAGTTAAGGATGGGGAGAATTGTTTGTCTCAAGTTGGCCATTTAGAATTATGTCTTTATTTTTCAATTTTTTAATTTCCATAGATTTAAATAAATATTCCTTAAGGCTTTTGTCATTCTGTAAGTGCTTTTTCGTTTGGGCCTTGTTGTTTTTAATATATTTGCTTAAGTTGTTGTTTGTTCTGAAAGCTGGTGTTATTCCTTTCTTTTGTATGTATGGCTATTTTTGTTGATATCTTGCCTGTATATGTAATCGAGCAAAATGTACTGTGTTTTTTCTCTGGTGTTGGAAATATTAATTTCGGGACTTTCTTATGCAGTTTTTGTTGTAAAATATGTTGATTGTTTCTCGTTGTACCCATCTAAAATCATAAATCTAGTAAATTTATGCATTAAGTTTGTTCCGTTTTTATTGTAAATTCAATATGACTATGGAGTGAAATAATATACGATAAGAATTTGTTAAGTTACCTGTTTTAGTTCCTGTAAAACATACCAGTACATCGTCCGCGTAAAAACTGTTTGAATACAGTTTGAATACATGCATACTGATGATGCTAGTTGCTATCAACAAGTCCTCACAGACACTTGGTCTAAGGACTAGCAACCCCATAGGAGTCTTTTTATTTTTTAGTCGTTTCGTGATTATTTTTGTAAATAGTTTATAAATAGGGTAAGTAGACTTATAAATCTGCAGTTTATGAGGTCGGTAGCATCGCCTTTTTTACGAAATAAGATAATATTTGCATTATGCCACTGAGTTGGTGTTTACGCTTCCTAAAGACATTTAGCGAATAGTTTAGCAAAGACCTGGCATAATCCTTTTCCAGCCACTTTCAAGGCATCTGCCACTATTTCATCGATTACAGGGAACTTATTGTTTTTCATTTCTTGCACTGACCTTCGAACTTAAAAATAAATCATTATAATAATATATATATATATATATATATATATATATATATATATATATATATATATATATTATGATATTATATAATTATGATATATATATAGGAAAGATCTTTGATGTCAGTTTTATTATTGATAGAATTTGGTTATTTTTTTACGTGAATCATCTGATGATGACCCAGAAAGTAGAAAAGTTTCTATTTAAATATTCACGGTCAGTATTTTACTATGTAGTCGATTTTTGAGGTCTTGCATTCGTGATATTAGATCTTGGCATCAACTTGTAGATGTGACGTTGAGTTTAACTAAATTGAGAGAGCCATCGAATGGAGTCAATTTACTGCAGTAATCATTATCATGTCCCCTCCCAGAGTTGTGAAACCTTGTCACAGGGCAAGGACTCTTCATGCTTTGTGTTAACTAATTCTATGAGCTAAGCACGACCAAGTGGAAGTTAAGGACTGTTCAACTCCGGTTACCAGGGGGCGCCTAGACTTCATTAGTCTTTTCTTGCTATGTAGGGCTTTGCTGTGAGTGATCATCCATTTTCTAGCTTCCCATAAACAAGCAAAAATCGCTATAAAGCTCAACAAAGGCCAAGTGGGCGAGCATGGGAAAACAAAGTAACAAAAATATATGTAGGGTATTTTACAGATCGGAATGTGGCTCTAGATCTACAACATACTATATACAATTCTCATGTGCTATTCAGCTAAATGTCTACTCGTTTTACCTATGAACTGTTTAACAATAGACAAACAAGTAGCCTGGAGAGTAGATGCTGATGCTTCCCAGATGGTTATTTCATGGACAGAGTGTCTTAATAATGTTGTTTGTGGTCTTCAACATTTTGGTATTTTTTGAAATTTATGTTTAAAAATAATCTTCTATCTAGGCGTTAAAAATAATCAGGTGTGCTATGGGCTTACCAGGGATTTCATGAAGATGTGTATATTAGACTCTGTCTCTATACTATACCGCTGAGAGATCGACACATCTAGTTCAAGTGTTTTAATTTTATTTTACATATATTATCTGTACACTACCTGGTCTGTACAATTTCGTCCTTTCGATACATTTAGTAAACAATTTATCGAATTCGTGCGATAAAGCAAATAATCGCCACCTTTGACATTACTGCAGGTACAAAGAATTTCATGTTAAAGTTATGGGGGAAGTTTAAGCAACTATTTTTATAACAAAGACATTTATAAATCAAGATTCTTACTTATTAGTTATTACTTATCTAAAGAAGGCAATATTAAAGTGTTAACCTTTAGCGAGATCTTTCAATTAATTATTTCTGCCTCTTCTTATTTTCAGTATGTTTCAACCATTTATTCCTAAATGTTCTTTCTCCCCCTTTCTCAGTAACTTTTGCCTTCATTTATTATTTTTACAAGTCTTGTTTGTCCTATTTTAATATTGTATTCGTCTTCATTTTAGCTAATGTTCTCCTTTAATGTTTTCAGGAATTTGATATACCAGATGAGACAATAAGGAAACGACCGAATGTTTTCCAGCTGTCGCCCGAAACCGTAAAACTTAGACTTCAGGAAATCGAAAGACACCCCGATCTTAAAGTTTTACTAACTCACCCAAATGTGCTTTCCTTAATAATTCATCATAATAGAGCTAAAACTAGACTATCATTTTTACATCAAATGCAGTTACGATGCGTTCCATTGACAATTTTAAGTAAGTTATTTAAATTTTGTAATTAATTGATTTTGCAATGCAAAACTAATTAAAAATGATTTGTACAATGTGTACAAAAAGTTTTGTTAATAATGCAAACTAAGATTAATCTAACTTAAAGATTAAGTCGCATGGTGCTAGGGCATCAATATAACATACTTTTCTGCCGCGGTTTGTAAGTCTTTTTCACAATTAAACTTTTCAGCAATATACAAATCCCTATGTTTTCGTGTTTTCGTTAATGTCTGTATGCCAACCAATAAACAATTCTCGTTACTTATGAAACAACTTCGATTACTTTCGTATGCGAAGAAAATTTTTCCATCACTAAGAGAGGCTAAACGCCTTGTCGTAATGGAAAGGCTTTTCATGTTCGGTGTAGTCGGTTATTCTGTGAAGTGAGCGCCACTAGGTGGATCTAAGGACGGCCTAACTACGGGTACTAGGTTTTTTCATTAGTCTTCTCTCGGTAAGTGAATTCTGCAGTGAGTCACCAGTCATTCACTAGCTTCTCGTGGGACAAGAATGAACCAGGAACGAACAAAAAAAAAACTAGGAAGAAAAACAACGTAGATTCAGCCATTCGAAAACTTTGGACTGTTAAAACAAGTCCTAGACCCAAAACGGGCTCGACAGCAGGCTTTAAAGTCTATCCTAACACCATAAACACATATAAAAGGTGTTAAAAAATTGCAACTCGATGTGTGACCAAAATACCCTCTTACCTAATCTACATGAGTTTTCCCCAAACCTACATAAAAGAAGGTATCGTAATAATATAGTTTGTAATAATTTCATTTTTAATTTACAGAAAGTGATGTCGACGATGCTTTCGAGGAATATGTAAAGGAAGGTAAGGACATAAATAAGCAAAGTGATTTATTTCAATATTTGAGGAAGCTGTTTTCGGTTTCTATGAAAGAAGTAAAAACGAAGATACAACGCCATCCTTTTTACCTACAAGTACCGCTGATAGACATGCAGGAAACTTACGATTATTTGAAATCTGAAAAGTTTTCTAAAGAACATATATACAACGTTTTATACATTATTCTCTATCCGAAGTAAGTTAATTTACATAAAAAATAAATCAATTACCCAGTGAATTTATTTTACTAATTTTTCCCTTGTTGTGAGCTGTGCTGATACTTTCTACGTTTATTCTATAATATATATATATATATATATATATATATATATATATATATATATATATATATATATATATATAACAATTTATTGTTTTGGAGTATCAGGTATGCGGTCTGTTATTAAAAAAAAAACTCTTTTTTCTTTTATGACTCTATATTTCGCTGATTTTTGTCAGCTTCTTCAGGAGATAAAGATTAAGAGTTAAAATATTTAAAAATCTTGAACATAATATATTCAAAACAGTACTGACTACCGCATACCTGATACTCCAAAACAATAAATTGTTATTTACGTTTCGGTCGATAATCCTACCAGTTTTGCTATATATATATATATATATATATATATATATATACAGTGTAGGAAAAAGTTTATGGTCGGTATGGACCTTACGTGAGATGGAGTGAGAAACAGCTGTTTAGAAAGAGAGAGGTAAATTAGGTCCGCCCTTTATATCGCCAAACATGCATGCCTGGAAAGGGGAAGTTCAACGTTGCCAAACTTATTGGATTTATTTGACCTGTTGTTTTTTTTTTGCATTTGAACAATGTTCTAAGATAATCCAATTTGGGCGAAATTGATTTAAATGGCAGCTTACTGTTTTTTATTGGGAATATGCCACAAGTTTACTTTACAATAAGTGTAATATAACATTTTGATTTCCACTTCGGAAATCGTTTTATATAAATAAAATTTATTAATGTTTCGTATTTTAAGTACGATTTCCGAATTAAAAATCTAAACATCAAAATAAGCTTATTTTAAAGTCAGATTGTGCCTTCTTCTTAATATGAAATAATAAACTGCATACAATAACGCCACATTAAAAAATATTCATACACAATAATTATTTGGCAACGTCGGTCTGGTCTGGTTTGGCCGACCGAGTAACGAGTAGTAGGGGTGGGTCGTGGTAGTTTTATCGTTAAGAGCGTAGGCACAAAATTTCGTTCCAATATTTTTTAAATGCATTAATTTTTTGCGAATTCTGAGAAAACTAATAAATATTTTTGAAAAATTTAAACGCAGAATGAAACAATACATTATTACCGAGGGCCGAAAGTCCCTGAACACTTCTATAATGTTTATTTTAATAAGTTATAGGGGTGAAAAAAAAAAATTAGTGTGATTTTTAATTTCAAATATCTCATTCAAAAACCTTTTTGTTTATTCTAAGGGACTTTCGGCCCTCGGTAATAATGTAATCTTTTATTCTGCATTTAAATTTTTCAAAAATATTTGTTAGTTTTCTCAGGATTCCAAAAAAAATGAATGCATTTAAAAATTTAAATTTTTGTGAACAAGTAACTATGATTGTTTAAAAGTAGTTTTAAGTAAGAGAGTACCTACATAAACAAACATAATGGCTATTATCGTTTATGTGTATATTTATTGAAGTGAAAGAAACTAATGATTTATTTATTATAACTTAAAAATTAACTAAACAATACAAATAGTAATTCGTACTTACATTTACATTACACGTTATTATTAAATCGCGAATAGTCTAAATTGACATTCAAAGACATAAGTTTTTCAACTTTACTTCTTATTAACTGTCTTCTTTTTTTATTTCAAATTAAACCAGATTTTGAACATGTGTTCACATTTACAATACTAATAGTGTTTAAGTTAGGATATACATGGCGATGGTTTTTCCACCGTTGTAATGGACTCTCGATTCAGGTGTACGTGTAGATGAGCCATGTCCAATTAATTGATCAAAAATACACCATGGATTTAAGTCATCTTATTGGTTTCTTTTTCTTGTACTCTTTGATTTTCAATAGTACAATCTTCTTGTTCGTTAATTATAGAAGTAAATGGTGAATCCATAAATGTACATAATAACAATGTGCCACTCTGTTCTATCCCTTTAAATCTTTTTGCTAAACCCGATATTAGTAATTGTACTACGTCGGATACTATGGATGTAAGGTTTGCTAAACCTTATTGCTAAATTTACCGTTTGCTAAAATTTTATTGCAAGATTCTTGCAGGCAGCGTACCATAACAATCACTGAACTACCCTTCAAGTATTTTTGGTCACTCATTGTACTTGTTATTTCTTTAAACGGCCGTAAAATTTGGGAAAGCTGAGAACAAATAATCCAGTGTTTTTTATGTAGATTTGGTCTAAGTCTGTATTATTTAATACCGATGTGGAACGGATTGCCTCTTCTAGGTGAAGTTCTACCTAGTTTCCACGTCTTGGATTGGCCGTTTGGAAACTTTGTTATGTTGTAATTATTACTTTAAAAGCCTTTCTGAAGATGGGTTTTTTTTTAAATGTGTTTTTTGCAGAATTGTCGAAAATAGGACTTTTTATTTTATCTATTATCAAATCAGTTTTGACATAACATTCCTGAAGTAATGAACCTGACAGTTTTTCTTGTTGGCAGTTTATATCAAGGAATCTACCTTGCAAACTTTTTAAAAGCTGGTTCTTCACCTATGGAAAACGGATGAAACGAGTCTTTGCATAAGTTTAGTAAATCTTGAAAATCAACCAGTACAAGAAAAAGAAACTGATAAAGATGACTTAAGTCCATGGTGTATTTTTGATGAATTAATTGGACGTGACTCATCTAAACATACACCTGTATCGAGAGATATAAAAGAAGTCGACATGTATTTGTCTGATGATATATTACCCACAAAAAATTTCGAACGGAGATTGGAACTGTCCATTACCGTGGTGGAAAAACCATCGCCATGTATATCCTAACTTAACCACTATATTCATAAAATATTGTAGTATTGTAACAAAATCTTTTCCTTGTGAACACATGTTTAAAATCTGGTTTAATTTTAAATAAAAGAAGAACACGGTTAACAAGAAAAGTGGAAAAACTTGTTTTTAAATGTCAATTTAGACGATTCGCGATTTAATAATGTGTAATGTAAATGTAAGTACTATTTGTATCGTTTAATTTATTTTTCAAGTTATAAGAAATATATCCTTCGTTAAGTTCTTTCACTTCAATACTTATACACATAAATGATAATAGCCAATATGTTTGTGTACTCGCTAATTTGAATACTGGTAAACAATCAACTAGTTACAGTTTACGAAAAACGGTTCCGATAAAAATTTAAAAAACGAGAGGATCCACCTCTAGTTTTTTAGGTATATTAGGATCGGAACCAAAGAATATGTAAAATATCCTTGATCGGAACTATTCGTCTCACGAATGAGCAATGAGTGTTAAAAATATTTATGGAGGGGAGACCAAGGAGAAATATGATTGTTATCTTTATCTATTCGCTGAAAATATGATTTTATATCTGCGTTAGATATCCTGTTAAATTTTACCATACCGACCATAAACTTTTACCTACACTATATATATATATATATATATATATATATATATATATATATATATATATATATATATTAAACATAAATCTAAGATTAATATTATTACAAAACGAATATTAAGCTAACCAGACTTCCGTGATAAACTGCGTCGATTTTCACTATTCCAGCTTTTAACATCCTGCCTGATGTCTCAGTATCTTCTCCCCAGACATTACACTGTTCACTACTACTGCTAACGAGGGCGGACGGTTTAATTATACCGTCGATGGTCGATGACGAGGTTCACTGATGTGGCGCTTTCATGGAGGTTGTCGTGATTATTCCTGACGGCGGGATTTTGATTAGTAGGTGGAGTGGCGATGTTTTCTTTAGGAGAGCTCTCCATGTCGAAGTTTACCGGGTGCCGTCATCTCTTTTATTAAGACAATTCGGCCGTGTTTCAATGTCTGTGGCTTCTAGGATAGTTCTAGGTTTATGGAAGCGAAGGGGGGCTATGATTCTGGAGTTTTCGAAATAAACTTTGTGACCTGTATGAAGATGTTGTTAACCTAGAGCTGAACTTAAATCGGAATTGCGGACAAAGATGGAATGTTCATAAATCATATTTTGGATTCTACGATTGGTTTGGCCTATGTAACATCGGAGAAGACTCCACAAGAAATTTCATAAACTCCGTGTTGTTTATTTGCAATATTGTCTTTGATTGATCGGACAAATGATAAAAGTTTTTGTTGGGGGATAAATATTGTCTTTATTCTTTTTGATTTGAGGATTTTGTCGACTTTGTCAGTGACACCTTTGATGTAAGGAAGCAAAGCTTTCGTATGATTAGGGTCCGAATCTTTGGGTTTAGATTGAGTGGGAGATTGAAACCTTTTTCCTGAAAACAAAGTCAACATCTTTACACCTCTGACATACATAATATGCAAATAAACAACATCCTATTTAAAATCAAACAATATACAGACGACTTTTGTGTCTATACGGAAAGCAAGAAACATGAAAACGGTATGTAAAACCTAAGTTAAGTATGTAGTTCAACCTTTCCATGTTTCTTATAGCACGGCTTAAATTTATCAATTGTCAAATCGGCAGTATCTGTGTTTACGAGATACAACCTTTCTATAAACCAAAATGTTTTTCTTAATATCAATCCTTTAGATTTAAAAATCATGTCAAATATTTGGGTCTTATCCTGGATAAAAATCTAACGTGTAAACACATACAATATATGCTGGATAGATGCAACACAGGTAGTAATTTCCGTAGAATGACAACTAGAGTATGGTGATGAAACATCTTTATTGCTTTATAGAGCTTATATACGAATCCACTATAAAATAGGGTGCTACTCTCTATGGTTCTGCTTCCAAAAATCTTTTTGACATTTTTCAAAATTCTGGCTTTAGTGTCTGATTAGGTGCTATGATATCTACCCCTATGCAACCATTACATTTTTAATCTTCCGATTCTCATCTTGGAATTCTTCTTCTTCTTCAGCCTGTATTCGTCCACTGCTGGACATAGGCCTCTTCCATTTGCTTCCATCGATTTCTACTTTTGGCAATTCTCATCCACTGCTTGCCCGCGACTTGTTTGATATCGTCTGTCCACCTCTTCTGCGGTCTGCCTACTCCTCGCCTGTTCTCTCTTGGTCTCCAGTTTGTTAATCTCCTGTCAATTTTTCGGGATTATCTCGGGCAACGTGTCCGACCCATTGCCACTTGAGCCTTGCAGTACGTTCTGAGACATCAGTAATTTTTGTTCTTTCACGAATGACGTTATTTCGAATCCTGTCTGTCAAACTAATCCCTAGCATGGCCCTCTCCATTGCTCCATCTTGGAATTACAAGACATATATTAAGCGAAAAACGAATGCGTATGGCAATGGCTGTTTGATGATAGTTGGATCCAGTGTGAGTTTTGTAAGGAATCTTGACATGAGGCTTGTTCAGTATATAAAGGCACGGGTCGCTTTATTTGTGACCATCTTTAGACAATTTTTGACATTTTTTTCCAATGTTAGTATAATAATAAAATATTTTGATGTTAGTTAACCAAATTTTCTTTGTCGGAAGAATAAAGAATGCTAGTGGGACATTTTGAGTTTCTATCGTTTTTTAACCTTGTGATATAACCTTGATAAACTAGGTCCATACTCTTACCGGCACTTACCCTACTCGTATGAGGTTATTTTTCTAATAGTACACATTTTATAACTTAATTAAATTAAGCTTGTTATTTAAACTGGTCTGTTGTTTGTATTAATGTCTTTAATAATTTTGTTTTATTAACTTTATAAGAAAGATATTAAGTTAAACTCTGCAAGTCTAATTTTTGTTAAAGTTAAAAGAATGTTCAACTAAATAAAGAGTTCGTTCTCTTAAGCTTTCTTACCTTATATAAATATTTTTATTTTCAGAAGTAAAGTCCAAAGCGCACATGCTACGATAAAATACGATCTAAACTACAAGTACAAATCATTGAGTCAGGTTAAAAAATTAAATCTGATGTTATATCTGATAGAAAAAGAACATCACTTTACAGGAAATGGAATATGGACGCATGGCAAAAAAAATGAATCTGCGGAAAAGAGTACAAATACAGAATAGCAAATAATTTATTGACTTTTTTTTTAATTAAACCTAACCAACAATTACTGTTTTTATGATTCTCTTATTTGTCAGAATAATATTTACAGTTTTTAGATTTCAGTTTTACCTTAGAGTTTTACTTACGCAGTCTTTGATAATGTTTGTGTCTTTTCTGTTTGCTGGTAATTCTACAATATCAAACATAATCTGTTTTATTGCTGTTATCATTCCTGTAAAAATGCGCCGGTTCCTGTAGTGGACATCAACCTAGATCAATTAACCTAGAGTAGCTGTGATGACTTCCGTGTTACTATTTTGCCAACATATGTGACTTTTAGTTAAATGATACTTTAGTATTTTGTTACCTTTGCAATGATCGGAATTAGTGATTCAAAACGTGCAAAAAGCGCAGTTGTTTCTTCCTCGGTGTGGGGTGTTAGTTCCCGTTCGTAGTAGACTATTATACGTGCATCCTGGGAGTAAGACAGGAGGCGCCAAACAATCTTTAGATCCCCTGGTAAGAAAATTACAAACGTCAAAAAGAATTCAGAAATAACATTAGCAAAAAACGAAGGTCCTTTTTCTTCTTACATTGAATATACATTACGGATGATGGACACAAACATGACTAATTCGACTATGCGGACTGCAGCCCTAAAAAGGCCGGTGCTGGTCAAGTTAACGATTTTCGTAGGTCATGAAGGCAGGACATTATCTTCGTGGGCCTCTTCCATACACTTTTACCTTCAAGTATGGTCCGAAATAGGTCGTATCGTTGTTCATTACGCATTATATATGGTGCAGGTATTCCAGTTTGTGACGTTTTATGGTTCCATAAAAGTACGCGATAAGATATTTTATTTTTTTTTGTATAAAAACGGAGCCTGATATGAAAGAAAACGAAAAGATTTTTTGTCACAAACTAAACGAAAAATCCAAAAATTATTTTTAAAAGTGAAAAATCTCATTGGCGTACCATTTATTTCTTTAAAAAAACTGAGACCCTTACTCGTACGCGCGTTAATGATGAATATACAATTTCTGATTGTATGTTAAAAACGCGCAATAACCAACTTTTAAAACTTACCAAATTTCATTTCATATATCTCAATCAGTGCCAGGGCAATAAATAAATCGTTAGTTTGTTAAGAAAAATTTCAACACCTTGTATCTCGGAAAAGGAAGCATATGCGGGTATGTTTATGGAAAAACTGTCAATAATTTTCATGCAAAATATCTCCCTAAAGTTAGTTGCACTAAAACTCTGTATAATTTACAAAAATGTATTATTCAAAATGACTATGTACAAACCGACACTTTAAAGCTCTGTAACTCATAAACAACTGATTTCTGAGTCTTGGCGGAATGATAACTTTTAATCAGTATGACCAAAACTACCTCTGCAAATTTTCAACCAATTTAACTGAAACTATTTTTATATAAGAACGAGACCTTCAAAGGAGTAAAAACTAAACGTTACACAGGTGTTGTCCTATTTTTGCCTATAACAACTTATTCTGTGAAATTAAGTTCAACTGAGCACAGAGGAAAAATCTCAGGCTTTGACCTACTGGGCTCTACTTATGATAAAGTGTACGGGGTGGCAATATACGTATACACAAGTGTTGCGTTCTGCACATACGATGACCTCAATATAACAATTGAGATCATCCTGAAGGGGAGAGAAGATATTCTGTTCAATCCAGAACTCGCTGGTTTCCCCCTTTCGAATTGGGTATATATATTCAACTAAAGAAAAGAAATCAAAGCCAGTGGACTGTATAAAACTCTATTTTTAAAAAGGTGTAAAATTAAACATAAATATTTATAACCAAATACTTATACCATTATAATTAAAGTAAAATATATTACTTAAAAGAAGAAGAATATATTACCAACTTAACTATTACCTACTATGAAATACACCAACAAACACACCAAAAGACAACCATAAACAAAACCAAAACAAGACAGATGTCGATTCTATTAAAAACCACCGACAAAACAAAAGACAAAACCTACCATAGCAGCAAACATACTATACATAAAAGATACAAAAACAAATTAATCATATTACAAAAAAAAAATACATAAAAATATGGATTTATATGTCATTGATATAAAAAAAGTAATAATGCGTTAGCATACAAATAATTATTACAATTATTAAAATAAAGCACAAAAGCAATAAAATCGGTGTTAAAGTACAAAAAATTTACAATACAGTGAATAAACCGCGAAACAAACGTAAAATGTCCAATTGACAATGTTCATTCGCGATCGCGGCACAAATGAAATAATGTTCCAAAAAAGTATCAAATAAATATACCAAGTGCGCGTACTTGATATATGCAGCAATCGTATATAAATGGTGTATTTTTCCTTACCCCATGAAAAAGATAGCCCCAACGCTATCGCAAATTACGCCTTCAGCGGCCGACTTTAACTACACAAGTTTTATGCACATTTTCGTCTTTTTTGGTCAAAAGACCGATAAGGAGTCAGGTACTCTTCGTCTTCAACATACACATCTGCATCGGTTGAGAGATGCATTTCAACTCTGGTTTTGTAACAAACGCAAACCCTTATTTTAACACATGTGGCATGTGGAAATCGTCCTTTATTGTCTCGCAGATGGCCGCCTTGGAATGTTTAGCTCTTATATCTTTTTGGCCCTTAAACACTGCTGTGCAATTGTATATGCAAAATCTCAGTGTAAATATACGGGGAGAATCGAAATTATCAAAAAAAGTCTATTAATATATTTACAAATGTTTATATATAGTTGCGAAACTGCAACAACAAGTATAGAAAATACCCTACGCAAATATTGAAGTAGTAAATGAGCTCACATACCTGGGTGTATAGAAAACTGAAGACAACAGCGAGCAAGATGAAATACGAAAAAGGATAGTGCCTGCTAACAAGCTTATACTTCCCTCTGTCGAAGGTGTTTGGATCCAAAAACATTCATAGAGAAGTATAGTTCAAAATATATAAAACCATCATATGACCAATAGCAAAATATGGCGTAGAAACATAGATCATGACAGAAAAGACAATAAGTTTTATAATCCGACAAGCGAGAGCTGGCGGGTGAGTTGCGCGAAAATAGAAAAGGAATTATTCTAAGAGAGATAGGAGAGGTACTTAATCGCGATTATAATTATATAGTATAGGTACTTAAACGGTTATACACGAAGTGAACTCCTAGCCGACTTCAATAGAAATGAGCAATCCCTTCCACTTTTCAATTTGTTCTACGCGCTCTCGCGTGTCGGGTTATAATACTTTTGAAAGAAAGATATTGGGACCCGTTTGCGACAGTGGTATGTGGAGAATAAGGTTCAACTACGAGATATACCAATATTACAAATAACCCTCTGTAGCAAATTATGCAAAAAGATTGCGCTGGACATTTCACCTTATCAGAATAGATAGTAACAGAATACCTAGTAAAACGCTTAGTGGGACGTCAGCCATTAGGAAGACCAAGGAAGAGGTAAATAGACGAAGTGAGAACCGATGCTAAAGAAATATTGAGGGAGGACAACTCAAAGAGAGCAGCCAAGGAAAGATGTGCTTCGAGGCGGATGCTGGGGGAGGCTAAGGCTCAACGTGGGCTGTAGCGTCACAGGAGAGGGAGAAAATACCTTACTTTCCACTTCTAAAAAAAACCTCCATGAAAATCGGCGATATCAGAATAATGAATATCTACAAACCTCATGCCATCATCGGACTTGCCCTGTCCGTAACGTAAACTACAACATTTTGTCAATTTAAATAGTGATGGTTAGATTGACCACACGTCTGTAAGAGTGTACCGTTTTTGAGACATCTGCGATTACGGGTTAAAGATAGGGTTTTGGTAAATATATTTAACTTTTTATTTTCAAATGAAAATATATGTATATTACAGGATCATCTTGTAAATAAAATACATTTTAGAGACAGCTATCGCCGTATTCTCGTTCTTCTCCGCCAATCCTCTCGGTCCAAGGCATGCTCCCCCTCCAAACCTCTCGATTCCATCATTCTTCTAATTCCTTCATTCCATGAGCGTTGATTTCTTCTTCCAGAAGGGTTCCATCTGTGAAGTTTTTGGGGTTAACGTTCGTTAAGCATTCTCAATAGGTGTTCAATCCATTTTAAACCTCTTCTTTCTCTTATGTCAATGACCGTTTCTGTAGCATTCATGTTATTTCTTATAGATTCGTTGGTCTTCCTTTCCAGCCTTGATGTTCTAGCACTTCTCAAATAATTCATTTCAACTGCCATTTCAACAATCTTCTCTTAAGGTCTGCATTAATTGTTCATACTTCAGAGCCATAAAATAGAACTGATTCAACCATGGTTTGCCTATTCTTTTTTTGTTCCTTTTGGAAATGTTGCGATCACACTATAAGTAGTTCAGACATCCTACAATTTTACGTCCCTGATTAATTCTGTTTCTCCCAAGCCGTTCTTATCAATGAGTGCACCTAAATATTTAAATTTTTCGACTTGTTTGATGTCCACGTCCTCGTTTATCAACACTTCAAACGTTGCATCTAAATTGATAACTAAATATACTGCTTTCTTCATGGTGACTTGTAACCCTTATTTTGCATATTCTCTGTATAGACGCTTTATCATAAATTCTAGATCATAAGAATCTTGAGCTAGGACGACTTGGTCATCCGCACAGTTTAGGGAGAACAGTACATCATTTTCTATGGGGATTCCCATTCCCTGACAGTGGTTTTTCCAATTTTGGAGGGCTGCCTCAATATATAAATTAAACAGTAAGGGTGACATACTGTTTTAGTCCTTTAGTTACTTTTATTGGCTCTGATAGTCTATTTCCGATTTTCAGGTAAGTAGAATTATCCCGGTATACTTCTGTAATTGAATGATATACGCATTTTCTAGGTCAATGATGGCTAGATGTAATTCGGTACCAACCGCTATTCTTTTTTCTATTAATTGTTGGAGTACAAACAAGTTATCAGCGCAAGATCAAAGATTCAAACGTCAATA